CCCCCCCGTCCCCTCTAGAGTCCGCCAGCGACATGCACATTCAAGATCCATGTGTTTGATTTCAAAGCAAGTTTACCCAAGCAAAACAGCTTCAAAACTTTTATACATACCTTCTCCTGTTTATAGAAGCAATTATTGGGACAGTGATTTATCCATGATTCTCCTACCTTTTTGTACATAGAAGATGTAGATTAAAATCTCTTTCTCTCTCTCTATATATATTTGACAGGTGTGCGTATGTGTGTTTGTCTGTCTATCCTTATGTAAGTATTGTACCGCATACAAATTTTTGTGAACTGATTGGACCAAACTTCACGTACAGTTAAATCACACGTAGGCCACTCCGGAAGATATTTTCTTTCTATTTATTTTTTGCGCTTTTTACCGTAGTATGCTGGGAACTACAAATTTGCCCTGGGAGTTTTTGCCATGCGCGGGAATCAGCGGCGGTCCCAGAAAATTTCACGGAGGAACGGGAGAATCGGCAAAAGCGACTGTTATAAATGTACTGTGCGTAACGATGAGAGTGCATTATGAAAGTGAATTCAATGGTGATATAATGTACACTGTATTCTAGTATGATTACTGTCAGCTTCTCATTTCCCTAAATTTATAAAATTCTACTTTAGGTATGTGAGGACCCCAGAGGAAGTGTCCATTTTGGTGCTGTTTCGTGTGCAGCGTGTTCGGCGTTTTTCCGTCGCACTATCGCCGAAAATCGCAAATACTCCTGCCGGCGCACCTCTGATGGCTCCTTCGACTGCCCAATTGACCAAAGTGGGTATTCATCGCATGTTTGTTGTTGCAGTGCTTATCTCAAGTTGTAGAACATCGTTGTTATTGCCGAGCTTGTCGATTGCAAAAATGCCGACGGATGGGTATGGATCGGGGAAGTGAGTTGTTTGATCCCTACATCTTGTACTTAAATGTCATAATCAGAGTAGAAATTTTCGAAGTTCTGCCCTAGGTGTGCAACTGCATCGAGATGCCTACGGTTCCAAAACAAAACAACTTGAGCATGATTCGTCTCACGTTCAGCAACCTTCTTGTTCGAACTCCTCCTCAGATGCACACTCACCATCTTCGCAGTAACTGTTGCCCTACATTTTTAAAGCTTTATTTTTTTTTGAAGAGTGCGTTTTTCAGGGAGAAAGTGAATGCCACCAATGTTCTGGATCTGCCTTCGTTGTCTAAGTTAGTAACAAGTTTCTAAACATTTTTGGTTCTCCTGTTTTACGACTAGTCGTGAAAGAGTATTTTAAGTGCGAGCCTGGCGGAGCAGCTTCTAATATTCTCTCGCACTCCATTTGCTACTAATGGGTCACATAAAGAATATTCGGAGTCTTACGAAAGTGCAGAGGCTGATCATGAGGTGACTTTGAGTGTACATATGTTGAGATAAGGATAGTGGTTCCATAAAATACGATGACGGTCATGACTGCGGTCTCAGCGGAACCGTGGCCACTAATGACAGCAGAGTTGGAGGCTGTCTAGTGGTGCGATTTTCCCCGGCTGTCACTTCATATACATGCTCTTAACATAATAAAAGGCTATTTTCATGAGGTTTTGAGCTTAATAACAAGAAGGAAATTCTAATTGTATATCAGCTAGATGGTTGTATACGGACAGTCCAAAAGCTTAATACTGAATTTTGTTGAAGCTGCAGGCAAGAAGTTCTCCAGACCTTTTCCTTATTTCTGACGTACAGTTCATATCTTTGGTTGGTCTATCTCATTATGATTTTGGAATATTGGGAGGAAGTTTTCTATAACAACATGAAAACTCCATGTAACATAGAACCAAATGCAGATGTGCTCTTAGTGGCAACCGAAAATCGCGCCACTCGACCCTGTACCCCAATAGAGTACATGATAATCAAAGTTACTGAGGCAGAGGTTCTTGCATAATAGGATCTCTAGGCATTGGCAACCGGGCCGTTCTTAAATCGACTATTAATTTATAAGAAGATGTAGGATGTTTGTTTTAGACTAGAAACTTCTGTAAATATGATTTTTTAGGTGACTTAGATGACATCTGACTAGATTTTTACTTCTTTTTTGTTCTTAATAAGTAATGTTGCAGATATCATCTCCATCTGCGGCACACAAAGTCTTTGCTTCTCATTTTTCACCCTATCCAGGTTCATTCTGCAATTTTTTTGCAAAAGTTTAAGTCATATATATGTCTTACGAATATAGCACAATTTTTCTACAGTTGCCTGCCCCACGAGTGAAATAGGCGACCAACTTTCGAAGAATGTGATAGAGGGAATGGTCGACTCTTATCGTCAAATGTTGGAAAGGAGACG